TGGGTTTTCTTTTGAAAAAAAAAAAAAATCATCAGTTAGATGAGTTTTCTTCCCGTTACATGGATATAAAACATTCATAGTTTATTAAATGAACATGCCCTCAGACACTGTTTCCTGCAAGATGTTGCGGCAGTGCCCCGGTACCGGGGTCTCTCGGGCTTAACAGGTTAAACAACAAATGAAGAAGAAGATGAAAACACAACAAAACAAACAAAATACAAGAAGAAGAAAAGTTAGTATGGCGAGTTCAGACAACACACAGGAGCTAGAAGACCTGACCCACCTGTTTCTTTTAAAACAGTTGTGTGGGAACATTTCGGGTTCCCTGTGGACTACAATAACGATGGAGTGTGAGTGGTGGATCGGACGAGGACGGTGTGCCGGCGTTGTTCAACAGCGGTGCGGTATGCTAATGGTAACACAAGCCAAACATGCTAAATCATATCAGAAGGCATCACCCAGATTTGGCAATCACCGGAGCCCGGCAAAAGACAACAGCAGTTCAACAGCTTATCCCCGCTGTTTTTAAGAAGCCAATAGACATGAAAGCCGAGAGACCAAAATAAATAACGGAAGCTTTTGGCATATGTTTTTCAACGGCTTATGCAATAGTAGAGGACCCCGGTTTTTATTGATTGTGATTGAAAGTGATTGAAACACTATCTTATTATTTATTTTGTAATATTTTTTAAGACATTCTTTTTAGTTTTACACCTTATTGAACCTTTTTGTCAGCCATTATAGATAATACGCAGGGTTGCCAACTTTGGGTACCTGGCTGGAGTGAGATTTTGATATCATGGGTTTAATTACACATATGCGCACTAAATGACTGCTATCATGTCAGTAGCGGGACCTTAGCACATACAGATGGAGCATCTTATTTCAGACTCCAGCTTACTGCTTCCTGCCTACTACCTGCCAGTTACCTGCCAAAGACCAGTATCTGGGAATGTTAAGCCCTCCCACTATTTTCCAAGAGGGCGTTGCCAGATTTTCAATTTCAGGATTTAACGGAGATGGCGCTTCCTTTACAAAAACAGGAAGACAACTTTTCATGGACTTTCAGTTTTGTTTAGAAGAGCATTTGAACACATCAATATTTTAGATCAAATGAAGTATATCTAATCTTGTAATTCAATAATATATAGTCTTTATATATTAAATAACTATGGCCAAACTAAGACTTAGTTTTTCACAAGAGAAAATGCAGATATTATATGAAAAACTAAAGTTAAAATCTTGTTTTTAATGCCCCAAGAGCAATAAAAACACTTGGTAAAAAAATCCTGAGTGAGGCTTTCATAAATTGCATTTAGCTGACGCTTTTATCCAAAGCGACTTACTATTTAATAAATGATAAATGATTATTCATAACAAATATGAGTGATGTGTGATTATTATTCATGCTATATACTGATATAGGGCTAAGTAAGCAATCAATCCTGCAAATTAACCCTTAGTTGTTCAATATATTTATTCAGACAATGTGAGTAGAAATACAGAAATTCTGCTCCCACCTAAGGCCAACGTTGCAATATTACAACATTTCCCTAAAAACGTACCAAAACGTAAACATTTTTAAAACTCTTTCATTTCTGCTCACTATTTTAAAGTAAATTCAACACATATCGACCCTAAATATAGCATATATTAAGAACGAGAAAGTGTTAACATCGTTTTTTGTAAACATATGACAAATGTGCGAGGGTGATGACATCAGAGCATCGTCCTATGGGCTTAGCCCCGGACAGGTACAACAGGTATTCACTCAGAGGGGGGTAGGTACTAAATGCCACCCATTTACATGTAGGCAAACAAAGTCAAAAATCAACATACAGTAGGGAGGTGGGGAATGGTGAACGGTATGTGGGTATGTGGGACACTGAAAAGTATATGTTAAAAAGCCTCAGTCACCTTAATTCATGTAATAAAAACATATCAGGTCAGTAACACTGAAAGCTAAATGTGCAATACCATGTTCAGCTATGTTACCATTTATAATGTTATTGTTGTTACAACAGAAGATGTTTTTCTTTATATTGAAGTTAAATGCATCAATCTGGTGCACTTTGAGGTCAAAATTAAGAGATTTATGGATACCGCTGGAAAAAGCTGCAGTACATATGCCGAGCCTGTATGTAGCGCTGTAACTTCCTCCACATAAGCAGCCTTCTGTTTATTCAACGTGGGCCGAGGGAACCGGGCAGAGTTTTTCGCCGGTCAACGTGTGTGAAAGTTTAAATCTTCCTTATTGAGCTTTAAAACAAATGAATAACAACTATATATAATAATAAAATAAACACCGGCTGTTGTTATGCCTGCTGTAACGTTAAATTACTCCATTCTCCGCTTAAGGAATTATGCCGTTACAAGCTTCATAGTTGTATTTATCATCTAAATTTGCAGAAACAAGTTTAATATTCTGAAAGCCAAGACTTTGTTTATTTGAAATCAGATGAAAACAAACTGTAACGGACCCTGCCGTGTTATCTATGATTACTATGCCTTACTGTACATTCATAATTTCAGCCGGAGGGAGGTGGGCGGCGCTGCGGAGGAGCAGATTGCGAGTGAGAGGTGCCTGTCATCTTCCCTTTACAAGCTTCACAAATGTATTTATCGTGTGATTTTGGAAATAAAAGTTTCATATTCTGAAAGCCAAGACTTTGTTTATATATTATACGTGGGTAGCTATGACGTCAGAAGGAGTTACCGTAAATGAGAGCTGCCGTAAAAGTGTTTCTAGGATTTCTAAACAAACTATTACAGCTGTTATAAAGCATTAAATAAAAAGTCATGAAAGAGATAAGGAGGAGAAAAGGTTTAAGGAAGTAAGCAAGGAATACAGAACGTCGAAATCCTCTGTTTCACGCGATGTCGAACATTGAAGACAGATGACGGCGGTCCCCCAATCTACACAGCGGGAGAACGAAGATCATAAAGCAGATCGGAGGAGACATCACGATCTTTCCCACATTAGTGCAATTCACCTATACTTAACCCCAAATAAAAGAACCCAATAAAAACAGTTGTTAAATAATAGTGAAGTCACGTTGTAATAATAACATCTCTCGGTTTGAGTGTTCTTTTTCTGCTTTTCTGACTATTTCTCATTGTGGGGAAAAATAACACCCAGGGGTCCTGATCGTTTTAATGAAGTTGAATACAGAATATTCATATTTGTCAGTGATTTCATGTCAATTCGGCGAACATAAACATAAATGATCGTGGTGAAGATGATGATAAAATTAGGATAAAAAATCGGGAGAGCCGGCTGCATTTCCTCTCGTTCGTTTTTTTCGACTAAACAACATTATTTTGTTAAATAACAACATGGTGATGTTTTGTAAATGATTACATGTCTTATTAGCACAGACTATGATCCTATCCGTGACATATGGATCTTAACAAAGATCCGCTATACATTAGTACCAGACATACTGTACATCCAGCTTACTGTATCGAAGTTGATTTCACATGAGCTCCAGTGTGGAACCCCACTGTACCCCCTGGTGGATCAATGATCCATTGCAGCTGGCTTCACAATAATTAAATTGATTTATCACGGGGGCGGTATCAAGTCAGACTGGGGGCCGGCTCTTCATCACGAACCAATCACGGGCCGATCACGGAACGTGCACGAGCCAATCACGACCCTCGCGTTTCAAACTGTCTGAAATAAGATGCTCCATCTGTATATATGATATATATACAATATATACAAATACACAATATTGGACACAGACTATAAAGGGCACAAAGTTTCATTCACTAATGAAAGTCAAACACATGTTTGTTTCCTCTGTTTTACTGTGTGCATAGGCCTGTCGCGATAAGCAATTAATTGACTTATCGTACGATAAATAAAAATGAACTCCATAACTTTTCTGACCTCGATACATTTCCATTTACATGAGGATGTGACTATCAGTTTGAAAGGATGTACTTGAATTATTATTATATATTATCATTATGTCAGTGGTCTAAAATGGTCATACAACGGTGCCGACAATATTATCGTTTATCAAAATTAATTATCGTGAGAGGCCTATACATGAAACACAGACACAAACAAATCTACAGACTTACTCCAAACTGCCAAATATATTAATTAACGCACTCTCACTCTCATATACTCTTTGACTCTATTTTGGCCTAGTAGAACAATAAGCAGCAGACTTTTACTTTTTATCATTTCTACTGGATCTTAGATCTGCGCAAGCGCAATACGGGTCGGGGATTGACCAACCGGCTCCCACTGCTCTGCTGTCTGTTAACGTTGTTAAGAGTGGTGGGGGCGGGGAGGGAGCAGATCGACAGCTTGAGCAGCTGTCAATAACCAACCAAAAACGATCGCCGGTTCATCTTGTTTTTGGCGTGAGAATAGTTTGGGCAGCGTGAGAGCGTGAGATTGAGAGTGAAAGCGTGTGTCACACGCCAGATGCGTGAGAGTTGGCAACCCTGTAATACGGCCATCTGAGTGTGTGTGGTACTGTTTGTGGTTTGTTTTTAACTGTGTAATAAAGTAAATTATTCAAAATGTTAGAGTTCCTTATTTTTAAACTGAAACTTGCACTACTGTTCAAAATAAATAAAAAACAAACCTGGAATTATGCATTTGCTTTTTCTTGTTGTACCGAACCCGTACCGAACCGTGACCCCCAAACCGAGGTACATACCGAACCGTGAATTCTGTGAACCGTTACACCCCTAGTTTAGGTAAGGCATTCTCCAACCCAAAATTATGAGGCTGATAAAAACCCATTAACCAATTCAATGTTGGGAAAACTGGCATCCACTCTCTTACCAAAGTAGAGTCTGGATCCCTGGCAGTGACAGTCCCTATAGCTGTGTTGATGCGGGCTTGCTGGCAAACTGGCATGGTTGTGGGTAAGGCCCCTTTTAACCCATATCAATGAGACTGATTACCAATGATAAAAGTCCAATAAATGGCCAGGAAACAATCAATGTTGGTGAAATTGCATCCACTCTCTTACCTGACAGTGCTGGCAGAAGAGTCCGGATCCCTGGCGGTGACGCTGCCTATGACTGTGTTGATGGGGGCATTCTCATTCACTTCTAGCAAGTAGACTGCTTTCAGGAAAACGGGAGGTTCATCGGAATCCTCCACCACAATCTTAACAGTAGCTGTGTCCTTGAAGGGCACACCGTTGCTGGGCTCCGAGCGGATGTTGGTGGCCTCAACTTTAAGGGTGTAGGCTCTCTTGCTCTCGAAATCTATCACCTGTAGGGAGGACCAAAGAGAGAGGAGCAGTGAGTATCACCCTGCTTCCTGACAAATGTATGTGTACACTAAAGTTGTACATTTACTCAGGTATTCTACAATTATGAATAGGTTCATGTCATGCTACTTTACACTTCTATTCCACCACATTGAGAATATGTACATATACTTCTCAATATTGGTTTGAATGCTGCACAGATGCAACATATGAAATATTATACACACCAATTTTACAACTAACATGGTTTTTTTACTGCTATCAAGTTTCTTTGTGAGAAATGTGGGAGCTTGACTGATACGTTTATAGGCTTTCTGCTGCTAAGATTTTTACTGACTTTATGCTAATGTTAACCCTTAATTACTTAAACCCTCTGTGATTAAAACAATTCTAAGTGCGGCGCCCCCAAGTGGCAGTATTGAGAAACACGGAAGAAAGGACACAGGCTTTTCCGCAAACACGAGCTGACTGGACAGAGCATCCAAACACATTTTCTAATTTTTCTACAAAAAATTATAATGCCATATCAATCATTGAAAATAAGTTGTTACCACATAAACATTAAACACACAGGGGGCTTTAATCTGAAAAGTCCCAGCCTTTACTTGCATGAAAGAACACCAATCTTACTAATGCTCTCAGTGACAGCAGATTATTAGAGCTCTCATACTGCTACCACAAGCAGCTCACATACAATGAATGAGAACAGGTGCTCATTCACCACCATCATCTCAAAAGGTATAATTTTCCAAAGAGAAATAAAAACAGTTTGTCCAGGACGAGTCATTGTGTGACTGACATATCTGTTTAATCGCTACTTCTATGCAGTATTTTCTTTTACAGATGGCTCGTCATTAATATTTAAAAGGAAGCAGAGAGTCACAATTTTAGCCTTGTGGCATCTCCGAGGACACCCCAGAATGTCACAATTTCATTCGGAATCACCTCTGGTCGCTCTCGTACGACGAGAATAATGGGATCAAGTCACTTCCACGCTCCATAACCGCGATTTATAGGGAAATGAAAACTGGGCCTTGCCGCTTGAGGGGATAGGAGCTGGCTAGGGGAGAGAGAAGGACTGAGAGGAGGGAGATGAACACAACGGGTAATGTATTCAGTTAGAAAGAGAGGGAGAGAGCAAGAGGATCTGTCCCTGAGGTCAGACGGGGCCGGTGCTGAGAGCTCCTGGGTGCACGGGGGGACGTGGGGTGTCTGGGGGTCCAGCTGTGAGACGGCAGAAGCAGCCGGGGGGACGGTGGAGGCGACCCGAGGCTTTGACTTCCACACTCCTGCCATCAGGGCACTAGTAGACAGCCCAAGCCCCCGAAGCCTCTCCAATCCCCGCTCCTCCATGGTCGAGGAAGCTATTTGGAACACTTTCATTATCAACCTCCCCTTCGTCTTCTTCTCCTCACCCAACTCCCCCCCCCTCCGTTCCTTCCTTTTCTCCCTCTGATCCTGCCATCTGTGCTGAGAAAGTACATAGTGTGGCTGGACCCCAAGCCAATGGATTACACTTATATTCTGAGGGCAGTGGAGAGTAAGAGCTTGTATAAGACGATGGCTGGATAGACAAAATTATTGTATGGAAATGGAGAGAGGGGAAAGGACAACTTTTTAATAGGAATGTATTATTTGAAAGTCATGTACTGGTACCCACATTGGTTTAACTGTTTGGTGTCCAGCGGATTTTTACAGTATGTATCTTTTAAATTGGTGAATATTACATCTGAATATTGTAACTCCAGCTATTTCATGGTTTACTTATAGTAACCCATGACTGGCCTGGGTTACTGAAAATTGCACAACATTCAAGTCCTCAAAATGAAAGTTGTATTAGGTCAGTGGAAGGTTCACTCGTAAAGGCAGACTCAAAATCATGTCTCAGATACACGCCAAATGTTCAGGAAGTTCAGTTTAATCAGTCAGGTACAGGCAGGGTCAAAACCAGGAGACCCATCAAACAGGCAAGCAAGTCCAATACGGGGCAGGAGAATACTCTGCATCCGAAACCAGGCAGTGAAGGACAGAATTTGGCAGAGCAGATAAACAGACAAATAACTAAAAGAACACTTGAGAGCTTGGAAGCACACATGAGGGCTGCACGGAGATTACACACAGATGGAAAGAATCAGGGCAGGGCAAATAATCACAAAGGTGGGAAAACACCAAGAGAGAAAGGAAAACTACCCATGACACGAGGAAAGAATACCTTTTCAAAAATAATATCAAAAGGGGTAATAAATAGCACTGGTGTATTAAAGTGGACATTTCTCTTTTCAATCAGGGCAGTTAAACGCTGAGATACTGGCGAATGTCTTGGCAAATACTTGATAATTCATACAGCGGACACTGGACGGCATTAGCATACATTTGGAGTCCTGTTTTGGCCACTTTGTTGAATGTTAATGCTAAATTCACTTTTAATCTCTCTAGCAGAGGCTGTGGGTCACAAAACAATGAGCTTACAGACTCTAAAATGCTAAGTTGTTAATACTAGAAAAGGTTACTAAGTAGAGTACAGTTCTCTGCCAGAGTTCTGTCTCCAACAAAGAAGTCTCACTAAATTGTTTCTCCCGGCAACTTCACAATCGAGATGGTGGTGAAGATATGTGCATACTTTATCAGGTATGCAATTTACTTGTAGATGGTCTGGCTCAAAATGTGACCAAATCTTTCTTTAGATGTCAACTTTTAGGCCATGATAAAAGCCAAAATGTGGCCTGAAACAGACGAGGTAAGGCGTATTTTAATTCTAGGCGATTTTCATTTTTGAATTTGTTTTTGCGATTTGTCTTGCAGTCAATGATAGTATATAATAGACAATATAATTGGCCTGTGGGGGAGATAAAAACAACATTTAATAAATGCAGCTTTTAATTAAATAGATTTAGTTGTGAGCTGCCTTTTTTCTTTGAGCAACAAGTAACAAATAATTTAGCAAATTACTCCACATTAAATTCCAGGGAAATTGGCTCTCCCCTTATCAAAATATTGAAATATTTTCACTTGACAGTAACTACAAACAACTCATTATATTTGTTTCCAATGCCCTAAGGAGGGGAAAGGGGCTCTCACTGTTGCTGGCGTACTCAATTACATGGTGGTTTAAGGAGAACACAGTGGCTTCTCTGATTCGCCGAGTTACTGTAAGTCTGATTCATTACTTTCAATAACAATTACAAAATCAAAGAAAGGCAGCCCCATTTAAATAAACACAAGTCATATTCTAACCAGCTCTAATTATTAATTCAATAAACGCACATACAGTGCTTAGAATAAGTAAGCCAGCGAGAACCGCTTTGATATTTGTTAGTATGCATACTGTTGAACAGATACTATTTGAGATTCATGAGGGCAAAAGAAAAACAGTAGAGCCACGTACTAAGCATTTTTGAAGTCAAGGTTGCATAGCCAGTTTAAATTCTTATATGTTCCTGGAAAAAATAAGCTTATGAAGACATTTCGGAATGTGGCACAGCAGACTTACACAAATCAACAAAGCGACCGTCTAGTTTCTCCTGTGTTGGAAAACCCATCAAGACCATGTCCCACGCCACTGCTGTGTCATCTTTTGGTGTCTCTTAAGCATCAAATCAGAATGTACACACAGGCCATTTAGAGACTTCAAAGTTCAGTGTTGGCTGCAGGGGTGAAAGCTCAGCATCCCACGAACATCCCTCGACAGGCCTGGGAGCTGGCAGATAAAAAGCTTAAAAACCCAAACAGAAAAGAATACCTCGCCTGGTTTGTGCCTCTCCAACCTCAGTGAGATCAATATGTTTTTAACCTTGCCGCAAAGGATGTGTAATAATTCAATTTTTTACGTTAGATGTGAGTTCAAAGACTCGTACAGAAGTTGGCAGCAACAGGGCGTGTTGGGGAAAGAGTTACAATGAATACCTTCTTCTGTCACCCTTGTTTGAGGATAACACCAGTGAAGACGTAGAACAAAAGAGTAAAAGCATAACAACCGCTTCTTTTAACCTGTCTCGACTTGCCGTCTGGAGGGAATGCGAAAACACTAAGTGTGCAAATGCTACTTTCCCCAACACAATATCATCTATCTTGCTTAGGCGATTAAGGCAACCAACTTGAGGCTGCAGAGAGAAAGCTGAGCAGGCTTTGGGAAATCGAGGCCCTCTCTGTTGGATATGGAAGTGGAGCTTGAATAAAAGTCTAACACATGTGACATTTGCTATGTCAACAGTTGGACATTTGTTCTCTGGCACTGCTGTTTTCTTTAGTGGCTGTGAATTGAAGTACCAGCGGATTGCTTTAGCTCTTATACATTCCATCTCCCACACAGTTCACATTTTGACAAAGCCATACCACATGTCCTTGGGGTAATGTCATTTTACATCACAACACAATGGCATTCTGCTTTTGAGTGATGTATAGCTCTGCTCTCCTGACGCCGAACCAACCATGACTCAAGACTTAAGAACGCCCATCCATCAATCACGTATGATTCAATATATGCAAACATCCTCCAGCAAGCAGAGCCACTATAGAAGTAGAATGTGGAATGCATACATATATAAACAGCTTTGGTGTCTTTGATTCGAGAATCTTGGTTTGATTCTCAGTCAATTCCTCAGCTCCGTATTGAGAACAAATACGGGATTGGGTGCTTCAAATGTCTACAGGCAAGCAACGCTATACAGGCTTTTATGCTTGAGGAAATATTCATACTGCATATCTAGAAACGTATTACATTGTGAAATTGTGTGAGATCCTTGGATAATTATTCAATCAGCAGCAAAGCATGTGTCTTGGTTCTTCTTCAAAATTAAATTATGAATACAATGCTATTCTTGTGAACACTTTACCGGCAGCAGATTGTGCCACGCCAATATGCGCTAATGCGTTTGACTCAAGGTAAGAGATTTAGGTTTTCTGACAGCAGTGTCGCTAACTCGCTTTCCTCAGGAAAATGTAATGAGCATTGTGTTTTCTTGTCTTAACAACTATTACTAATGTTTCATTTAGCAAGGCAATTAACCGGCAACTGCTTTGCTGATGTTGCTTTGGGGCATGTGGTAGATGTGTGAAGCTTTCACATGTTGTATGTGCTAGCATCACAAAGAACATCTGGAAGCATTAGGTAAAGACCATCTGTGTTTATGGTGATGACATTGTGGGTGTCAGCTCAACTGGATTCAACTAAAGTTAGAACAATGATCGAATCAATATACAATATGTTATAATGAGTTTAGAATGCTACATGAGCTAAGAATTCAACATCTAAATAGGCAAGACTGAAATGCCAGAAGGAAATGTTCTCTGAAAAAAAGTTCCCTAAACTTGAATGTCCATATAAACAGAAAGTCCATCAAGAAAGCTCATACTTTACCTCAAGCAAACACCATGTGAAAGGAATAGTGTTTTTTTAATGGAATAGGGAAAAAAAGCAAAATTCTACACTCGTGCAGGCCCTGGCGTTTTAATATTTAATGTTAGAATTTCAAGTGAACATTTCTCCAGAACAATACAAGGGAAAATAATTACCCTAAAAACAATACAAAAGAGAACAAAAACTCTGAACTCATGTTAATACAACGTTACAAATACATACATACATACATACATACATACATACATACATATGTAAATAGTTTTAGCTTATGTCTTTAAGAATTAAGCTGTAGCAGCTTGATGCAAGGACTATTATTCTGGAGATGTAGGACCCTGAAATCTTAATTGAATCATTCATCAATTGATATTTATTGAAATATAAATCACTTCAATATGACTGAAATGAAATACTTGGGCTTGAAACCGACCAGCGGATCAAAGGCGGGGCTTAAGGAAAACTCAAGTGCGAATGCTAACACCTGCTGTATTACACATTCCTGGACCTTGACGGTCTCTAACAATGACAGAGAAAGCATGAGCAGAGCCATGTTACAGCTGTTTCAAGTTCTTACCTTTTTCAGCCGAAGAATCCCTTCTTGTGTCTGCCCGTCGGTGACTATCTCGAACATGCCTTGTTCATCTCCCTCGATAATGTTATACGTTGACTTGGCATTATCACCGATGTCTCTATCATTTGCTTTCACCTTGCCGCCCATCTTGCCTATCGGTAGGTCTTCAGGGATCACAAACTCGTACAAACCTGTGGAGGAATAGACATTGGATTGGAGAATTGTTGATTCAATTTGAGAAAGTCAGGGAAGCATATTACAGCACTAAATCCTCATTAGACTTAACAAGAGTTCGAACTTGAGGTGGGTGTTTGAGGAAACTTACAAAATAACATTCATTTTCCCCAATTATAACCAATCAGAGAAACACTAGTTTACACCGGTGGTTATTGGTTTTTCCTCCTAATTCAATTTGGGACATTTAAGGCCACAAAGTTACTTACTTTTAGAGAACTTTGGCGGATTGTCGTTGACGTCTGTTAGCGTGACGGTGACTGTCGTGGTTCCCGACAAGCCCCCCATGTGACCCTCCCATGTCCTTAGCCTGTATGACCACAAGGTACTCCTCTCTCATCTCCCGATCCATCGCATGGAGAGCAATTTTTATGGTCGCTGAAGGTGGAAACAGTTCATAACACATTAGTGCAATTATAAATATGACTGATATACTCTGCTGCATCGTTTTAACGATGCTCACGTGAGCATGCAGGAGAAAAACGAGGCATGTATTCTGTAACCTTCACACCCAACTTACTCTCAGTTTGTAGGTTGCATTATTTTCCACCATGACTTCACACAACAAGGGCTCCACACAAGCAAAAGGTTAAAGAAAGGAATCCCTACAGGTTTACTCCAGGTCTTTGTGAGCATGGCAAGGTGGCCATGACTACAGCCCTGAGAATCAGCTGTGTTGTTCCGCCGTCTGCAGTCATTTGTATTCTGATTGAGTGTGAATTATGCTGTCTGTCTTGTATAATCTTGAATATTGTATGCAGAATGGACCTTATTGACTCTGCCACGGCGCATAATATAAAAAGGGCTCAGCATCGGCATATACGGATAATCCACTCAGGAAACAGAGGCCCGCAGGATCATCAAATGAATATAAAACCCCTCATAAAAGCTAGGCTTTGGCATGACACCCTGCCTTGGTCCTGAGCTGCATCAGACAATGAGAATATGTTTTGCTATGATGAATAACGTGGGAGGGGTTAGGATGTTGACTGTGCCTGCATTTTCAATTCCTGTGAAGTATTTTCCTTCAAGATGTTGCACAATTTCAGGGTCAGCTTTGCTTTTGGAGGTCACACACAGCACTGATGATCTGAACAACTAGAGAATGTGAGTGACAAGAGTTGGACATTTCTTTACAAAATACTTACATAAAATCACCAGCAAGATTGCAATGGAGTAAATTATTTTTTTAACTAGATGTTTTACATTGTTTCATCTGTTTTTTTAAGCCTTCACCATTATTTCCTAACTTGGCTTCCTTAAAATGGCTTTACTTGGTCATTGCTTCTATCCAACTGGCTTACTTTCCTTTTTTCCTTTTACACACTTTTTTGGCTTTTATTCTGAAGTTATTTGAGTGTTATACTTTTGAGTATTATTGTCACAACCATTTCAATTTTCCGCTAACTGGGCTAGTACTGTAATTTCCTTTTTAAATGTGTTGTTGACTGCATTATCAGACATATTTTATATCCATAGTCATTTACTGAGAAAGACAAATATTTGTCTCTAGGTAATGATGTATCTTATGTTACTTATGTTACTGAAAAGAGGTCTTACTTCCTGTCAGATAAACTTTCATTAGACTCCAATAAAAACAAATCCAGATAAAATTACAAGTATTTGAAACACAATAACCTACATACATACATACAGTACATACAGTACATACATACATACATACATACATACATACATGCATACATACATACATACATACATACATACATACATACATACATACATACATACATGCATGCATACATACAAACATACATACATACATACATACATACATACATACATACATACATACATACATACATACATACATACATACATACATACATACATACATACATACATGCATGCATGCATACATACAAACATACATACATACCAGTGACGTGCGGTGAGGTTCATGGCTGGTGAGGCACTGACTCACTGACTCAGATTTACAAATATTATATTTTGACCTTAATCGAAATATTCGGTTATTTTCAAAAGCTTTTTTAGTCTGATGCTTCGATTCATTTTAAACAGACCGTTCAACAAAAGGATACCCAAAATCTAAATATTGGATTGTTCTTTCTTAGTAAGATCCCATTTTCATTACAAATGTGGTCTTACCTTGACTTGAAGATGAAGTCCATGCTATCCTTCTGGACAACAATCTCTATTACTTTTTTGTAAAAGTCCTCCTTATCTTCCTGTAGTTTCAAAAGTCTAGTTTGTTGTTTGCTCTACCGTCTCTGCGTAGAATAACAGTAGCAACAAGAACCTGTGGGCTCACGTGCGCCCCCTTCAGGGCGGCAGAGGTTATGGCTGCCTCCCCTGGTGCTTTTTTGCCGTTGTACGATGAGACCAGCGAGCCTAAATATCATATACGTGAAATAAGTTATTTAGAGACTATGGATGGCGAGGATAAATGTAATAAAGGGATCTACAAACATTACATTGGTGACCTACAGTGAGATGGTAACAGGCATGCGCTTAGGGCCCGCTTTCCAGCCAGTTTCTGTGGGGTGACGCATTCTGAGGTGAGGCAGATCTCATCTGTGCCTCACCTCACCCCACAGTAACTGGCTTGAGCGCGCTCACAAAATAAGTGCCCGCGCTAAATTAGTGCCCGTGCTCCAGCAAGTTACTGTGGGCTTACGAGAGGCAGAGCTCGTCCCTGCCTCACTTCTCATCGCTCCCGTAGCGGAGCTCGGCCAATTTGCTGATTTTGACTATAAAAAGCGATTGGAATCATACAGAAATCACACTTACAACACAGATCAGTGGAGACATTTTATTATTATTATTACTATTTAGTTTTTCTTTTGTTGTTTTTCCATTACATTGCTCTGCCTCCCCTGACTGCACGTCGCTGATACATACATACATACATACATACATACATACATACATACATACATACATACATACATACATACATACATACATACATACATACATACATACAGTATAGAGATACTGGGACGAGTTGCATAATGTTGTAAATGCAGCAAAAGATCAGACATTAAACTATACAGTAGGACAGTTTAGTATACATTCAATCTAATGTACTGCTACAATAATAATACTTATCATATCAAATGTAATTTAATAGACAGCATGATCCATGTGCTGAGTTTCACAGTAAATCCAGAGGACCCTAAGGTGCTCTTAAAGATGAAATAAAACATGGAAAAAAGATAATTATCTTTAAGCACCTTTAAGCTAAAACCTCAAACAGTATGTAATGTATCTTCTCACATGTTCACACGACAGGCCCACTGAACAACAGAGTGAACATTTTATTGTTGCAACAATGAATTGTTGCCATTTCAAACATTCAAATGATCATTTGAAATAATCAAATTGGCTTTAATAGCCACTTAAGCACATATATTATATTTGAACTTCAATTGAATAAATTCTACTATTTTGGTACAGTTTTGTATATATCGTTTTTATTGGATTATGTTAGGTGTATTTACTACAAGGTGATATGCCGTAATATACTGTAGCTTTCAGTCCATAAATACTTGAACTACTTTATTACATAAGATTCTGGATGTTTTCAAGTGGATTGAAAGCAATTTGTTATCGTGTAACTGTGTTCTGGTTATTTAATTAAAGCAGTGTTATAGCATATCTCCTACTTTTGAATCATCAAGTCGGTAATGGACTGCTCGCGGTGCAATTTGATTGGAAAACACATACCTGGACACTATATTATTATTTCAACAACAACAACAACAACAATAACAACAACTGCTGTTAAGGTTTACCTGTCTCCCTTGTGTACAATTTATCAGAACTGAGATATCTTTAAAAATTAAACATGTTTTTGACCATATTATTCTGACATTTTGTTTTAGTTATTGAATGCAGTGTTATAGTATATCGCCTATTTGGAATTATAAAGTGGGTAGTGGACTGGTCGATATGTTATTTGAATGGAAAACACCTGCCTCAACGCTGCATATACCTTTGTTCTGGTTTTCTGGTTTGACCTTCCTCTCAATGAGTACATTGGATCTTCACAAAGGGATCGAAATTTGATGAAAGGAGAACTAATTCATTGTGCAGAATAAGTGGCTTAAGAACTTATTACATTGGATAAACAGTCACTATGTGTGGTTCATGCTTATTGTGCAAAAGCAACATTTATGCTGCATTATGTTACTGGTCCAAGCAGTGAAGCTTTGAGCTTTGAGTGGCATCAACAAGGTAGACCCACCTCCTCTCGAGTCAGGCAAACAAATTAACCCATGAATAAAAAGAGCAACACAAACAAGTCACTTGTACTCCCTGTGTGTGTACACACACACACACACACACACACACACACACACACACACACACACACACACACACACACACACACACACACACACACACACACACACACACACACTTCAGTCATCATGCCATGAGCAACACTCTCATCTCTGTTGATCATCGTTAATTATTCAAATGAATTCCTAATCACTGAAAAGGGAGGATAGACAAACACTCATTTCCATAGATATTTGCCTCAACTTTTTTTTTTCCTTTTCTCTTTTCACCGACCATTAACCAAGTGATGAATTGGGGCATGATGTTTATTTATTTATTGAATGCTTTTCATTTCCAATGTGGCGTTGTAAGTGTCAGACGCATCCTAATGGTTGTTTTCCCCCTTACCTTTTATTTTTCATTAACATTCATTAAAACATCTGGCTAACTCGAATGAGCCATCTGCATGTGCTGCACAATCACACAGAGCATGAATGCTAATCCTTAAATTGTCCGTTCAGCGCGCTTTCTAAAGCCACGATGCAGTAAGAATACGACGCCGATGTAGAAGTGAAGACGAGCCCGAATTTCTGTGTCGAGCTGATCGTCGCTTCTAATTATGTGCATACATTTCGAGCCTCCCTTTCTCCAATCTTGTTTATTGTGTGCTGTTTTCCAAATTGTGAGCAGTCGATTTCCATCTCATTTCTTATTAATGTAATTTCACCATTATTTAATCATATTGCTTACAGACACATGTTAAAAAGTCAGCTGAAAAAGCAATTAGAGATCCAATCTGGAGTCTGTTTGGAGATAACTTTATGCATCATGACGCTGCTGAAGAGTCTGCCTTGTGAAAGGAAGAAGTAATTATTATTATTACTTTGAATGCAATGATGTTACAGAACAGCATGTGAGCACTGGCCCATTTAGCATTGAGGACGGCCAATCAGCTAATGGAAACAGGCAACTCACTGATGCCCACGTGAATCTTATAATTTAGTAGTTTTGATAATGAATTTCATGCAACCCGTTGATGAACCATACAGCCTGCCACAGATGACAAAGCTAAACCAAGACACAAATGATAGACAACCATACAATTGTCT